TAATAATATACACACAATTTTTCTTCATAATAGAACTGTCTTATATTCAGATTCGACTAGTCTTAATTAGGATTATACCTTTCCTTAATATTGATATATGGTATATGTTTATGACATGATTTAACCAGTTTCCCCCGGTTCTGTTTTACTATAGATAATTGTGAAACGATTACTGCTAGGCACAACATTTTGATCATGGTTTTTAATATGTAATTAAAATAAAAATTGTTAATATTTACATATTATTTGTGTGTTTTTTTTCCATGGGAGTATATTCCTTTTTTGGGGTTACTTCTTTCCTTACTATATGAAACCTATTGGGTTTAATACTCCTTGGGAACCTATATAGTGTCATGATATTATAATATAAAAATGTTTTATATATTTAATTTTTTTTATAAAATCTTTTTCTGCAGCCCCTGTTATGAATGAACAGGAAGCCTCTATACTAAGTGCTCCTGTCCATTCATAAACTGTAGATATAGTATGAGTTACTATGTCCATAATCGTGAAAGAACAGGAAGTGATGTAGAGCACTTCCTGTTCATTCATAATTGGGCACACAGAAAACTTACCATGTCACACTAATTTACAAGCACTTCGCGATCAGTCATGACTTGCCTTCACAGAAGTCTGAGCAGGTGGTGCAGGGAGGAGAGCTTAGCCTCCTGTGACACGACTGACAGCAGACTCCTCCCCCGCACAGTGCGGCTCGGCCTCCTGTGGCAGCTGTCTTTCCCGCACTGCTCTCCATCCTTATCTGCCTGTCACAGGAGGCTGAGTGGGGTGGTGCCGGAGGAGAGCTCAGCCTTCTGTGACAGCGCTGTCGGCACTCTCCTCCCCGCCCTGCTTGGTCTTTTGACAGCTTCTCTCTTCCCTGCTGGGCGCTGTTTTGTGTCAGAGAGGACACAGGAGCTACCAGCGAGGAGGAGAGAAACAAGGGATACACCGCATTGTTGGCCAAAAAAAGGGTACTCTTGGCATTTTGCCCAAAGCACCATTTTTGGCTGATCTTTTTCGGCGGCCAAATTTTGGTGCATCCTTACTCCTGTAGTAAACACTGACGTATTTACATTTATTCTAACAACAACTTTCTTTTATCTGCTCCTATAGTATAAGCCTTTGTAACAATCCAAGGGATATAACCTCTTGAGGGAAAGGAACAAAGGTACTATAAAAAATGATTTATGTGAAAAATAATTTCTGTTAAATGCATAGGGAGCGTTGACTTTTATTTTCATCACTGTTCTCAGCAATAACCGCATAATCCCTCCACCTATCAGTTGGCCCCAACTCCATAAATCAATGCTTTTACATCAAAGGCATGCTGTACCATTAAATGATATTTTATGTTTTACATTTTATTTTGGGACAGTGTCAGGTATTCTTAACCTAGCATTCCTTTTTTCACAGAGCACTAGTGATATTTCCAAGGACATGCATAAATGGTAAACTAATTCTGTTTTTGTCGGCAGGCAAATTTGCAAGAAGAATTGAATGAACTCCAGTACAAAAATGAACAACTCATACTGGCTAATGAGAATCTAAGTCGCCAGGTTGAACGTCTTCAAGTGGAAAAGGAAGAGAGGGAAAAAAAAGCAGTTAATTGCTTCAGTGCTTTAGAGGTAATACACTTTTTTTCGTTTTAAAGCTGCTTACTTAACGTGTATCTCAACTCTTAAACACAAATGTTGTAGCTTACCAGCCCTAAGATGTGGTGACTGCATTTGTTTTATTTTTCAGGCTTTAACCCTTTATTTTCACCTGCTGATGCTGCTGGTAACATGCTTTCTGTGCTAAGGTGAAAATGTTCACATGCTGCATGTTGTCACCATAGGCTGCTCTCCTGATTTGGACTACAAATGCCTACTACCTTCTGTTGGTTATGTGTTTAGATGAAGCACTATGATCCTGTGGAATGCTGAATTAAGTTTACTTGCTTAGAAGGATATTACATCAGAATACAGCATTGTGAAGGATTATTTACACACACACACACACACACACACACGCACACTATAATAGGCATATAGACAACTAAGATTGCACGACAGCTCCATACATAATATATCTGTACATTAGAATGTCAGTAATACAATCTGTACATATCAGCATATGCTCTGTTGCATTCCCAACACCCCTTCTCAAGAGCATATGCTATATGACATTTAGCTTCTCTCGAAGGAAACAGAGGATCCTTTGCCAATAGCTTGGTGTGTGCATCTGCCATCATTTCTTCTGATGAGCAATATTGCATGTTGATAATAGCTTGCTCTTGAGTGTCCCTAAGCAGATAATACTTCACATTCATGTGCTTGGTTCTAGGGATGACCCTTTCTGATTGAAGACAACCAGGGATGTATAAAGCTGACACAAAGATTGGGGTGGGGTTTGACATGTCTATACCCATGTCCATTAAAAGCTGGCAGATCCATATTGCTTCTTAAAGAGCATGTGCTGCTGCTATGTATTCAGCTTCAGTTGAGTAAAGTGCAACCGTTTGCTTTCGGCTAGACCAGCCTATGGTTCCTTCTCTGTATTGGAAGATATAACCCCCTGTGGATTTGCGGTCCCAGGGGGTGTGGAATTCCTATCGCCTGAGACATGGGGAGACACTCATCGGCGAGTCGGTTTTTTTGTTGTACTTTTTTAGCCCTGCTCCGGACAAGCAGAGCTAAATGTACAGTGTGGAGCCGCTGCTCGTTTTTATACAAGTGATCTGATCAGCAGCGGCAATCGTGTCTGGGCCATTATCCTCCCCCCGCTATGGTTTTTAGAGTCCCCCACTCCTCTGGGGTCCTGAGACCACGGCACATGAGCTCACCATAGAGCCCCTAGAGCAGACTAAGAACGTCCGATCTTTGTCTGCTCTGTGTGATCACTGAGACCAGAGCCCTGTACTTGCAGCACCACCTGTCTCAGCTGTCAGAGAACCTGTCGCCTCCAAACTATCACATAAGGGGTTTTAAGCCCCTATGTGATGGGAATAAAATTTTATTAAAAAATTTAAATTATAAAGTAAAAAAAAAAGTAACCCCGCCGCCCCGTCATCTGCATGCAAATAAATGCACGCGTAGGACATTGTGTTTGTTGAGTGCTGCCTCCATTCCACTGTGTGCCATATTGTGGTAGTCAGGCAGCAGAACTCTCCTACATGCACAGTGTGCATTAAAGGGTAAGTTCCCTTTCCCAGGTAATATGGGAAAGTGGAATTACCCGATCAAATCTGGACCGTGATGACCAATGAGACGCTATTTAGCACAGTCAAATACAGTTTTGATTAGGGATGCACCAATACAGAGTATATGGGACAGTACTTTTACTCGCCTAAATGCTCCGATACCTTCCCCAATACCGGAACTTCCGGTCAGAGGAAGATTGCCTAAGGGGAGAATGGAGCCAGCTTCCTGTGCAATCAGGAAGTGGGGCAGTGACTAATGACCCACCTCCTGGTTTCCTGATTGGCCGGGAAGCCAGCTCGATGCTGATTGGCTGGGAAGCCGCTTTGTGTAACAGGCTTACCTGTCCCTCGGTTTACAGCGCGGCTCGCAGCGCCGTCGGAGATTCGCGACGTCAGTTGCGACGTCACGAGACTCCTCCTCCTCTCCCTAGTTAAACCCGGCGGTTACACTTGCCTGGCGTTCGAGCAAGTGTGAAGACGCCAGGCAAGTTCCCCGTCGGACTGCCACGAACCCCACAGCTATTTGGGCCGGTCAGAGCTCCACCAACACTGCCATCTCAGCCCAACATACTCGGGCTTCCTGCACTCCTGGATAAAGGCTGCTTCCTCCTCAGCTCTCTGCACCCAGCACTAGGATCATATTACCAGAGCCTGGACTGCCTTTCCCCTAACGTTCCACCGGAGGGCACCAACACCACTCCTGCAAAACCTCTCCACAGAACTGCAAGTACTTACTTATAGACTGTCACTTCACATATACCTGCATACTAACAGGACTGTGGAGAGCTATTATTCTGATTCACTGTGGATAGCTATTATTCTCATCAACACCTCTGATTGTTGCTCAATTGTTGCCCCAACAAATCAAGCACTGTTTCCATCAATAAACCCTCAATCTAACTCAGGATTAATTGCTAGCTGATTTTGGTGTTACTCAAGACTGCATTCATATTATAGCATAGTGCTACAACCCCTCTCTGCTACCTCTGCAGCTGTGATCCACAACCAGATAAACAGTTGGGGCCTGAGCGTTATACTTTTGCCGGCCAAACATGGAGTCGGCTACCCTGGCCATCAGGCATGTCATTGCCCGGGAAGCCTGCTCCATGTCAACAGAAGCGGCGATACTCAGTATCGACAAGTGACGAAAGCAAGATATCGGTACTCGTACTCAATACCCAAAAAACCTGTATTGGTGCATCTAGTTTTTAATGAAACCTTTTGTATTGGGACAAGTAGATTGTCATGAGGGACAAGTAGATTCGGCCCCCACGTTATCCCTTGTAGTTTAAAAAAAAATAAAATAAATTCCACACCCCTGGGTCTGTGCAGTCTCTGCCCAATCAGCATCCGCATATCCAACTAGTTTGGGATTTGCTGTTGCTGGCATCTCGTAGCTTCATTTGAATCGTTCTTTTTAAGTATTGGATTACCCTCTTTACTGCGTTCCATTAACTCTGACAGGGTGCTGCGACTTTTCTATAAAGTATTCCCACTGCTGCTGCTATATCTGGTCTCGTCACAGTGGCAATGCATAGTAGCTTTCCGTTTGATCTGTGGCACATGTTATTGTGGGTTAGCAAGTTTTCTGCTTCATTGCTCTTTTAGTAGCCTGGTTCGATAAATGTTTTTACTTCCTTTGCATCTTGCATGTGGAATTGTTCCAAAATGTCTGCAATTTTCTGACTTTGGTTGAGAAGATCGCTCCCATCTTCTTGAACTAACAAATCGACTTTGTACGTAAGATTCACAAGCTCGAGAAGTTACCTTGAAACCAGAGGCTCGGGTTTAAATTTAAAAAGATAAACTTTGTGTCAACTACAACATTTATTTCACCCCTATCCGAAATGCCCAATTAAAATCAATTGGCAATGTTGTCAAACTCTCTCACACACCCATACATATTGGCGTATTAATGGGGCTAACAGGCAGTGATTGTTGGATTAAGATTGTATTCCGGCGGACCAGCCTATACTCAATACTGCGATCAAAGCTGCTTTTTATTGACCGGAACAACAAGAAATGAGCAATATGCACTGAATATGCAAACACATATTAATTAGACTGTTATGATTATTGCATAAAATGTATCCCTTGCCGGCAGGCTCACACTTTTCAGCTATACAGTAGGATCCATTCAACCTGATTCTGAGTCTACTCCACAGGATTGATGGAGAGCATTCCAGTGAGTCTCATCGTATTAAACTGGATCAGGAAAACTTGGTGCTCGGACCTTATCAGGCTCCTGGTAGGCCCTCCCAGGTCATCCATATAATGTGTCCCGGGGGTCAGTTTGCCACCCTGCTTCTCAGTCGCTGATTTAATATCTTGGCTGTTGAAGCACAGGAACAGGTGTCTATTGGATTTAGTCATCCCTATGCTCTTGAAAGTTAGGAAATCAAGTACTCACCAAGTTTACCATTGCATTTGTAAAGCATACTTTTTCTTGGTGCGAGACAAGAAAATTGCATCCAAGAACTTGGGACTTCAGGTCTGTTCTCCAGTTTGGTCTGACTTGTCAATTGGCCTTGATTTCACATCATTCCCCAGTGACTCCGTGGGATCTCAACCAGGTTCTGTTGGCTCTTCAAAGTCCACCCTTTGAAACTTTTGGGGATTTTTCTCTGTGTAGCCTTGCTTGCATGGTAAGCCCCTTCCTAGTACTTCTGTGAGGCGTGTTTCTGGGTTGGTTGCCTTAACCTGTAAAGAACCATTTCTTGTACCACAAAAGGACAAAGTTGTTTTGAGCCCCAGGCCTTTTTTCTTGACGACAAGGTGGTTTCTTCCTTTACATTTAATCAGGACAATGTTCTAACACCTCTGTCTTGCTCCTAAAAATTCTAAGGAGATTTCTTTCCAGTGTCCGAATGTGGTAAGTTTATCTTTCAACTACAGATCCATTTTGACAGTCTAACTCTGTTTGTTCTTCATAAAGTTACCCATCAGGGACACTCTGCTCCCTTGTTCCACTATCGCTAGGTGGATTCAACAGCTTATCATTCAAGCTTATGACCTCAAAGTTTCCCCCTTCCCAGTCAAAGTGCACTCCACTTGATCAGTTAGTGGTTCATGAGCTTTTCAGCATCAGGCATCTGTTTCCAAGATTTGCAAGGCTGAGTGGGACACTTTGTGCAGCTATCCAGCATATCCTCCACAATAGTTTTGGAGGCTGAACTGGAAGATTATGGTGCCTGGAATGTAAACTTCAGGCCCTGGGCTTGCAGCACGCTTTCCAAATCTAGAGCCTCGAGTATGCTGTGCGGGCCAAGGATCAGGTGCTACTACATTTATTGCAAACGTGTTTCCCATCACCCCCATCCATGGAAAGGGTTTACACGTTGGACAATTATGTGCTGCGTTACTAACTACTAGAGGGTTGCATACACACTACGCGTTCTATTCCCACTTTTTCAGCATGAGTTAGCTGCCTCCCGCCATTGCTCC